GCTCACAGTCCCCTCCTATGCCTGGAAATCTGAAAAAGTCCCTCTCAGGAGAAGGACTCTCTTCTTTAATCTCTAGGGTGGTGTGGGGTACTGAATAAGCAAGGTGACAAGGTCCTTGCTATTCTAGGAAAGCCAGCAAGGCAGGCATCCCTATGGCCTACTTCCCCCTTCTCCCTCCCTTTGAGATCTGACCTTTGATTGAACCCAGGACCCTGGAAGCTTTGTACATGAGAAACTTATGTTCTTATTTTGTTGATAAGTAGTTAGCTATGAATCTTCAAGCACCGTGGCAGCTGAAAATATTCTATAAATAGCTTGGTACCAGATATAATTGATGTAATCAATACAATTTGTTATTTTCACTGGCTTATAAAAAGGAACCTAACATAAACTGAGAGGCCTTACAGGCCAGCAGACTGCAGGGTACTCCTGATCACATAAAATAGATCGTGTCTTGCTTCATTTCCCACTGTCTCCCCTTGGAGTACTGGTTGGCGACATGGTGATAGTTGGCCCCAACCCCCAGAATCAGACTCTTCTGATGCTGACTGCTAGCCTGAATGTCTAAGTACTGCCACTGACTCCCAGGCTCTCCATCATGGGGTCCCCATGTGACACCAGCACTTTCACCATGGTCACCATTTCCCCAGAGCAGTGATTCTCAAAGTATGTTGGTTTCATGGGTATATTAATAAGTATCATACGAAAAGGGGTTCCATGGTCAAATATAAATGGGAAACAATGGCCTAAATAAGTTTCTTTGCTGCAGGACTTATCAGAGCCTTGGCATGCTGGTGTGTACTGTGAATCTTCAAAGGTGGGGGCACTGAGAAAATATGCAGTTTCCCAAGTTTAGTTATTCATGAACCCTTTGTTTGCAGGGGGGTGTCTTGCTGGACCACTCTTCTCATGCACATGATTCAGGCAGTGCTACTCTAGACTATGACTCGCCACTGCAGATGCCCTGTGCATATAATACTTTCCCCAACACAATGAGGTATCTTTCACCTACAACACAAAGGCAACATTTCCCCTTCCTGTTCTGACCCATAGAGTGAATATGCATCCAAGACCTAGCTCTTCCCTGCAGGCCCAGGAGATGTGACAACACCCATGGAGGACTATTTTACGACTGGTCTTTGCCGGAAGTTGGGAGGTAAAAGTAGAGAGGAGAGGGTAAGAAAGGGCAAGGGGACTGATTTTTTCATCTTACAAAGTGGGGCATCATGAGAGACTGCCTATAGCTGATGGAAAAAGAACTAGGAATGTAAGTATATTTGCTAAAAGTTGCAAAAGCAACCTAGAGAGGAACTAAAAGTAGTGATATGTTTTGAGAGGAAGGGGGAAGAAAGGTGTGTGTATAAACTAAATCCTCTTCTAGGAAGTTAGTCAATAATACTTAAATGGATAAACATGAAAACAGCAGTAAAGGACATTATTTAGAGACAGTATTAATGTCACAGAAAATATCGACTCACCCTGTCTTCCAATATTCTAGAAGTTTTAGATAGACATATGGGTGCCTGGCTAAAAACTGTTTCCCAGCCTCTCTTGCAGCTAACTGTGGTCATGCAGAGCACAAGGGCTCTGGACCAGACTCGCCAGGCTGTGGCCTGGCTGTGACTCTGTCTCCTCGCCAGCACCACACTGGTGCCCTTGGTCAAGTCACTTAGCCTTTCTTGGCCTCAGTTTCCTCAGACGGAGAAGGAGCTCTGTAGAACTTAACCCTCCAGGGGCTGTTGGGAGGGGCTGAGCCTTCAGCAGATGACCTGGCATTTCAAAAGTGTTCAATCGGTGCTTGCTTTAAAAAAATGTGATGTGGAGATGAGTGTATCTCTTTAAATCTTGCACTATTGTTTGTTAATCTGTTGGAGATTGGTTAACAGTCAAGTTCTGACATCAGTGGGAGTGGGTGTGTCTAACAAGAGGCCTGTGTCTCAATCCCTGGTGTTCTGTGCTTGCACACATCCCATAGGGACACCCCTGCGACAACCCAGCTCACTCTACAAGGGCAAAACCAGGGTCTGGCGCAGGCCCCGCCCCACCACCCCCCTCCCCAATGTAGACTGTGCTGGAACCCTGGCCCTCACTGGAACCAGCGACTCTCCCTCTTCTCCTCTCCAGCAGCCCCCTCCTTCCCTCCTTTTGGACCCATTAAGAGTTTATCTATCATTAATTCTCTCAAAATGTGGAAAACATTTTAGGGCACATTCACTCCATAATCATTTCTCAGCATCTGTTACATGCCAGGCTCTGAGAATGCAGAAAGGCCAAAGCCAGGGTCACAGCTGGGCAGGCGTCAGTCACACGACCACCTGAAATGCCACATGGTGCCAGCGAAATAGGAGCCAAGGAGCAGACTGTCCTGAGGAGGCTGTATGTCATCCAGCCCAACCCCTCCCTGGGCTAAGGTGGGACCATGGGGTCGGAGGCCCAGAGAAAGGAAGGGCCTTGCCCAGGGTCACACAACCAAGGGTGAGCCTGGTCTGAAACCCAGGCGGCCACCTCCCCACTTCATTGTAAAACCACCAGGTGGGCTCTGGGAGGATGTGAGAAGAGGGACGCGGTCTGACAAGACTCGAGAACGGGCAGGAGGGTTTCAGTTCGGTTCAGAGGAGTGGAGGCTGCAGACTAAGCAGACCACCCTCCCCAATCTGAGGAGGATGGTGGGCTTGGGGAGGCTGCCAGACAGGGGCGGAGCCTGTAGAAGCCTCGGGGAGGCCACGACTCTTGGTTTCTAGATGACACTGCTGGGGGCACCTGGGGGAGAAGGGATCTGCCCTGTGCAGACACAAGCCCTGGTGGAGTGTCATCATCACTCCCAGTGGAAGCAGGATCATTCCCATTCCCTGCCCCAGACAGAAGGTCCTCCCACCAGAGGAATTCTCCTTTATCAAAGGAGACCTGGTGTGCGTAAGGCCTGGGCCCCCCAGACACACTAACTCCTGGAGGACATGGTCCTGCTGCCCATGGGTGGTCTGCCCCATGGTGCCCCTGAAAGCCCAATCTGGACCACAGCTCTAGATCCCCCCACCTGCAGGGCCACCCGAGGGTCCCCTGCTCTCCCAGCTTATCTCTGAGGGTGGAGCTCTCTAAGCCCCACCCCTCAGTCTGTTGCTCTAAAGCCCTCCCTGATTGCAGAAGGCCTGAGGCACAGTCAGGCAGGTGCTGAGCCTGGGTCTGTTGGTCCAGCCAGGTTCCTACTCAGGAACCCCACACAGGACAACTTCAGGGCCACACAGGGTCTTGTCAGGCCTCTGGGGATCTGAATACCCCTGCTCTCTGCCTTCTACCACCCCAGCTTCTTCTAGAGCTCCTTCCACATCCAGGCTCTTCAGGGCCTTTGCAGTCTGCTCCCACTCCCCTGGGTTCTTACACTAACTCTTTACATGGTGTCTTCTTCCCATGCCTCCCGTGCAACCTCCTCAGACCAGCATCCTTGACCACCTGTCCTGGGAGGCTCCCCTACCTGGTCACTTAACCTACTGGCCTGCTTCTTTAACTGGTATATTTGCTGTTACTTGTTTTCCTATTAACTGGTTCCTCACAAGACTATGCTCCCTGTGAGGGCAGAGGACCTGTCACTTTGCCCACACTGTGTTCCAGAACGTAGCATGGTACCATCCACTGGGCAGGTGTTCTTAAGTAGCTGTGAAAAACTGGCTCCCTGCCCCACTCTGAAGGGGTCTCTTTGGGGCATCAGGACGGGTGGAGATAACCAGACCCCTTATCCCCACTACCTTCTGCTGAGCACTGGCTGAACACCAAGCACTTGACACAGTCCACCCCTTCAATTTCACAGCCACCCTTTAAGGTGGGGAGGTCTTATTACCGGCTAAATATGTCCCCATCGTGATCGTATTCTCTTGTAGAAGGGTAATTTGGTAATATTGATGTCAATATCAATCAAAACTTAAAATATACAAACCTTCAACCCAGCAGGCCAATGCTAGAAAGTCATCCTATAGCTATCCTCACATGTGTAAAAAAGGGCTTTGAACGTCCAAGGGTGGACACGACACTGTATGGAAGAGAAAAATGCTAGAAGCAACCTAAACACCCATCAACAGGAGGCAAGTTAAATAATCATGGTATATCTGTCAAAGGAATACACTGCAGCTGTTAAAAAGGATTGTAGATACTTAATATGCTTGCCCAGACAGAGAAAATTTCTAGTAAGATAGCCAAGAAATTGTTAATGGTCATTGCTTCTTGGGATTTAAAATAGGGAAACCGGGTGATGACATGAATCATTTTTGGAATAGATCACTCAGATTTAAAAGGTACGAAAGGATTTATAGTGAAGTTTCCCTCCAAAGCCTTGTTCCCTGGCTACCCAATTCCTGTCCCCAAAGGTAACTACCATTACCAGTTTCTTAGTTGCATAGTAAACTCATTCATTAAATATTTTTTAAAAAAAATTAAAAGATTAAGAAAGGTTTTAAGGGGGCCAGCCCATGGCTCACTTGGGAGAGTGTGGTGCTGCTAACACCAAGGCCATGGGTTCGGATCCCATATAGGGATGGCCAGTTCGCTCACTTCGGAGAGCATGGTGCCGACAACACCAAGTCAAGGGTTAAGATCCCCTTACTAGTCATCTTTTAAAAAAACAAAACAAAACATTTTAAGGCCAGGGAGTGTGGCCTGTGCTGAAACTGCTCAGGAGCATGACCCTGCACGACTCTTGGTTTCTAGATGACACTGCTGGGGGCACCTGGGGGAGAAGGGATCTGCCCTGTGCAGACACAAGCCCTGGTGGAGTGTCATCATCACTCCCAGTGGAAGCAGGATCATTCCCATTCCCTGCCCCAGACAGAAGGTCCTCCCACCAGAGGAATTCTCCTTTATCAAAGGAGACCTGGTGTGCGTAAGGCCTGGGCCCCCCAGACACACTAACTCCTGGAGGACATGGTCCTGCTGCCCATGGGTGGTCTGCCCCATGGTGCCCCTGAAAGCCCAATCTGGACCACAGCTCTAGATCCCCCCACAGGGGCCCTCAGTCACTCACAGTTCAGGACGATCTGGGCAGCGCGGTAGAGCTCCAGATGGCACAGGAGGTCCACAAGCTGCTGGACGGTGGCCTGCCGCATGCCCCACCACCACAGCAGCTCCCGCGTGATGCTCACACCCTGCACCCGCTCCATGGACTTGATCTTCCGCAGCTGGGTCAGGTCTGTGATCACATAGGAGGCTGGAAAGCAAGTAAGAGGACTCTGCTTAGAGTCAGAGAGGCAGTCCCCCCACGAGGGTCCCCACACCAGCAGAGCTTTGTCCAGAACATCCTCCCTACCCATCCCTCTCAAGTTATAATGCTGATTCTATTAATACCCATAGGGACTGGCACGTGAACACATGAACATAAATATCAACTCAGCTGCTGCACAAGACTTATGAGAAAGACCACAGGACAAGAGAGTCAGAAGCCTTAAGCTGCAGCTGCTTTTTTGCTACGGGCTGTCTTTTCACTAATGGGAGACTTGGTTGGTAACAGAACTCGTCTCCCCTTCTACAATGGAAGCCCCATGTAGGCAGGGAGTTTCATTCCCCAGTGGGAACATGGTCTCTCTTCTCTCTTGATCCTTGTAACAGTTCTGTGAGGATGGATACAAAAGCACTTTGCCAATTCTGAAATACTGGACAAAATTTGCAGGGAGCTATCACTGGTAATAATAAAAATAATACATTCCTTCTTTTCGTTTTTTACCATAAAATGAATGGCTGCTCATTAAAGAAAACATGGGAAATGCAGGAAAAGAAAGTTCTACAGTGTCTCACCACCTTCCTGAGGCCACTAGGGTACTTTCCCTTTCCAAAAATTACCCCCCCTCTCCATAGGGATGACTTTGCACGTAGTTGTTGTCAGACTGTAGGTAAGATTTTGCATCCTGCTCTTATTTATTAACACTGTACCATAAGAATTTTCTGAGTTGTGACGAGCTCTTCCCAAATGGCACTTTTAGTGATCACATAGTATTCCACTGAGTTTACTGAAGTGAGGGAGGCATTTTTTAAAATTAGGAATAAAATAATCAAGTTTCAGTTCCAGGGTTTCAGAAATTATGGAGCAGGACCAGCCCGTGGCTCACTTGGGAGAGTGTGGTGCTGATAACACCAAGGCCAAGGGTTCAGATCCCTGTATAGGGATGGCCAGTTAGCTCACCTGGGAGAGCATGGTGCTGACAACACCAAGTCAAGGGTTAAGATCCCCTTACCAGTCATCTTTAAAAAAAAAAAAAAAAAATCATGGAGCAGGAATCTATGTGAACATCCAGTCATTTATTCACTCATTCATTCATTCAACAAAGTATTATTGAGCACCTGCTGTGCACTAGGCCTGTGCCAAGCTCTAGAGATACTGTGTTAAGTAAACCAAAATCCCTCTGCTGTATTTTTTGTTTGGAAAATACAAACATAGGCGGGCTGAGTGCGGAAGGGGAGGCAAGAGATGAAGCACGGGACCCCAACAGGAAGGGCCTCAAATACTGGGCTGTGGAGTTTGGACTTGATCAGGGGACCACAGAAGATCTCAGGGCCAGGAAGAGACGTGGTCCGATTGCACAATCCTCTCCCCTCTGGAAATAGGGAAGGGTTGTGACAGTCTCCTGCAGAGAGAAAACCTCCAGGAGAAGTGCCCTGGTAGGAATGGAAAGTTTCTGAGTTGCAACTTTAGTCATTGGAAAGCCCGGGCCAGATTCCTGGCTGGTGGTAAGTGATGTCAGTGGGGTCAGGGGCTGCTTCCAGCGGTAGACACAGAAGAGGAAGGAACACCCCCCTCCTTCCATGCACACACAGCTGCTATTTACCTGCCCACCTCCCACCCTTGGGAGGCAGCCTGATGTAATGGGAAAAGCATGAGCTGGGACTGCTGCTGGTGGCCAGTGGCAGTGGGAACTCAGCCGCAGCCCTGACCTTCTGTGGGCTGAACTTTCCTCACTGGTAATGCAGTAGAAATAGGAATTAAACTCTGAGGTGCCTCCTGCTTTGGACATTTTAGTTCCTTGAAAATGACATATCGGCATTTAACCAGATCCTTAAAACAAGGTCAAGACAAGACAGAGATCTTGGGGAATGAGTCACTACTGAGGGCTTCCTCACTTTTCTCCACACTGACAAACACTGGGTCATTGTAGAACATTTGGAAAACAGAAAAAAATCAAAGTCCCTGTGAGCATTCCACCTGGAAGACCATGAGAAAACCACTGGTTACCTTTTGGTATCTAATCCTCCAGACGTTTTTCCGTAGATATAAAAACATGTGCATATGTCAGCAGGACAGTACAGTTGTGGTACGTGGGCCAGACCTTAGGACTCTGAGACCTGGGTTTAAGTCCTGTCTCTGCCTCTTAACTTGCTGTGCATTTGGGGGAGGCCCTTCACCTCTACCTAAGACTCAGATTCCTCATCTGTCAAACGGGGATAACAGCAGCACCTGCCTCAGCAGTTATTGTGAGGATTAGATGAGTTATAGTACAGAAGCACTTGGAATGGTGCTTGGCACATAGTCAACACAATATAAATGTTAGTTGTGTTTATCTACACTCTATGAAAACCTGTTTTTATCCCCAGTGGTTAGCACCACATGGAGACCATCACCCTGATTTCCTGAATCCTATGAGTTCACCTGGGGCACTAGAAAACTGCCCATCTTCAAAGAACTCCAGAGCAGAGATGGCACAGCCTCCTGAAATGACCCGACCTAAGGTCAAATGACCCTTCTCCAGACTAACCAGGCTCCTCTCTGGGTGGGGGAAGGGGAAAACGCTGAGAACCTTTTCAATTGTCATGTCCCCTAAGCCTCTCAGCAACTCTGTGAGGGTTTTATTACAGATGAGAAAATAAAAGGCTCAGAGAGACGCAGTCACTTGCCTGACGTCACACACCTGGGCAAGGGTAAACCCAGGCTGTGCTCAAAGGCTGGCACATGCATGAGTGAGCAAGAGGGGAGAGGCCCAACAAAGGAGGGGGTGCCCCCAGGCCCCTTTGCACACGCCTGGGTGGGGAAAGTTGTAAGAAGCCTGTTTTACATGGGCTCAGACAGACTCCAAAACTCTTCACCCAAGAGCAAAAAAGGACGCAGCTGCAATCACAGAGAAATGAACAAGCAGCAGCCAAAATATCTGCCAACCTGAGTCAAATGCAAAAGAGCATGCAGATTTGTGGATGTGGGACTTTCTGAATCACTTTAGAATTCTTCCCACACCCCAAACCCTCCTCCCAGTACCACAATAAGCTCTGAGGGACCATCTTTCTCTAAAATGACTCACAGAAGCCAAGACATTTTAGGACTGAAGGGATGATCACAATCCCTCATTCGTTCAGCTGAAGAGGAAACCAGAAAGCACTGGGACATTGAAGAAGCAGCTGATAGGGCGGCACAGCTGGCTTGCAGTCCAGTGACCTTGACCCATCACGGAGAGTGGGCTGAGCATGCACCCAAAGTCATCTCTGCAGGGTGAGAGGTGGACACACCCTGCGTCCTCACCATTCCTACACCCTTCAGCTCACTGTTCACCCAAGTGGTCAAGGAGTACTGCCACTTGCCAGGCACTGTCCTAGGCTCTGGGGATACAGGAGTGAACAAAGCAGGTGAAGTCCCTCCCCTCATGGCACTTACACTCTACATGGAGATAAACATAAGCAAATAAGGAACAAGGTAATGTCAAATCTCATTAAGTGGAATGAAGGAAACAGAACATGGTGACGGACTAATGAGTCAGGCCTCTCAAACAGGTTGGCATGTGCTCTGACCTGAAGGGCTATGGTAGGCAGAATGATATCCTCCCATCCACATCCTAAATCCCAAGACCTGTAAATACGGTACCTGACGTTGCAAAAGGGACTTGGCAGATGAGATTAAGTGAAGGATTTTGAAATGAGATTATCCTGGATTATTTGGGTCAACCCAAGGTAATCACCAGGGTCCTTTCAAGAGGGAGGCAGAGAAGATGTGATAACAGAGGCAGAGGCCAGAGATTTGATGATGCTACACTAGTGGCTCTGAAGATGGAGGAAGTGGCCATGAGCCGAGGGATGCAGGAGGCCTCTAGAAGTTGGTCAAGGCAAGGAAATAAATTCTCACCTAGAGCCTCCTTGATTTTAGGACTTCCGACCTCAAGACTGTTAAGATAAATTTGTGCTGTTTTAAGCCACTACACATGTGGTAATTTGTTACAGCAGCAAGAGGAAACTAATACAGACTAGAAAGCCACAGGGTGAAGAATGTCCCAGGCAGAGGGAACAGCCAGTGTGAAGGCCCAGAGTCTGTTCCAAGGAGGGAGAGGGGCAAGGAAGGAGAGGAGGTCAGAAGGTCAATGGGGCCAAACTGCACCAATGCTGGCAGGCCTGTGAGGAGTTTGGATTATATCCTCAATCACAGTGGGAAGCCTCTAAGAATTGTGAGCAATTCTGGTATCTCCAGGGCCTACAAAGGCAGAGGTTTTCTCCAGAGAAGATATGCAAATAGCCAATAAGCACATGAAAAGATACTCAACAGCATTAGTCATTAGGAAAATGCAAATCTAACCCACAGTGAGATGCCACTTCATTCCTGTGCTCAGATGGCTAGAATCAAAAAGGTGACAATAGGGCCGGCCCGGTGGCGCACTGCTACAGTGCGCCGCTTGGGAGCACGGCGGCGCTCCTACCGAGGGTTCGGATCCCACATACAGACCGGTTCCCGCTCACTGGCTGAGCGAGGTGCGGGTGCAGCGCCGAGGGTTGCCATCCCGTTGCCGGTCCCGGTCCGGTACGGGTGTGACACTGAGGGTTGCGATCCGTTGCCGGACACGAAAAAAGACAAAAAGGGAAAAAA